ATATATATATATGTACGCTGTGCCTCATGAAGTGAACGGAATGAGTTACGCATATACTCATTACCTGGAACGATGATTCATGATGTTACTGAGCAAAGTTTATATCACATGGGAGGTTTCTGTACGAAGCTCGCACCGTCCGCGTAATCAAATTACGATATGCGACGTTTGAATCACGACAACTGGAAACTAGAAAGTTGTCCAGTGATTGTTTTACTTGGAACTGTAAAACACTCTCCTACANATTAGTAGTATTAGTGGTAGTAGAAGAAGAAAAAGAATAGGTCTGATATATTAATGTCTGTTCAAACGGCATTTGCACGTTCCAGTTGAAAAGCAACTCCACTGGCGTCCGGTGCGATACCAGATATTTTCGGTTGAGGTCATATATGACTCCACGCTCCCAGTCCTGGATCTAAGGGTTTTCCCAAAAAGCTCGCCGTAGGTCCACACACTGCACAATGTATTATTTCACACGTTCAAATTGTTTCCCTCAGCATTCGCAATCTGAACCACAATGCTGATTATGTGCACCACTATTTCGAACCAAATTCTGCTTACATTCTTTTTCATCCGGGAGCTGATTGCCTTCCTCGTGAATTTCAAATCACTTGCTGTTTCATCATTGCCCACTTTATTGGTCTTTGTTCAAGACTGGCCTGCGATTTGTATAAACGTTTCCTTTTTGTACAGCGTCGTCATTGAGAGAGAGGCGAAACGAAGAACTGAGATGCTGAAACACGTTGGATGTACAAATGGGGATTATCGCCCAACCTGTAGGTTTCATACGTCTTCAGCGACAAGCGAATTCACCTCACGCCGGAGAACATAGGCTATTTCGAATCATACTGACGAGTGAATCGGATATAGAAAATGTTCCTCTGTCCAGCTTTCTCCATCGAATAAATTAAAGTAAAACAAGAACATTACCAGACATACCGGGCACGGAATGGATGCACCATCGGAGTAACCCTGATACTGTACGGGTAACTGAGTGATTTTGATACATGGAGTCCAGCAACTTTTACGATCCAGACACATCAGAATGTCAGCAAAATGACCGTAAAGAGTGTCGAGTCCTTCAGTATTTCATTTTAAGTCGTCAGGTCTCGACCACAGCAGTTAACCGTTTCCCCTGTTCTCCTAACTACCGCGGGGACGGGCTGTGGTGTGTTACTCTACTTTAGCAGCAAAC